AAAACAAAATAAAACAATCAATCATATTATACAAAAAAATGTATATCATTTCTTTTATATTAATCGTCAAATTAATTAAACATTCGATAGAACGATTATCGATTAAAAACAAATTCGAATCAATTTAATAAACAACTGCCCGTCGCCCCCGTCACCCGCTGCCCATCGCAACTTTGTCTTTTTGATAATCGCGCAATCAACAAAAATATGATAACGAATATTATAAAATAATACAAGAAAAAAAGGGAGAAAAATCATTGAAGAATAGAATGACGGTACGACGTAGGGGTAAAGGGGGTTGTTGGGGTGATTAAAGCATAGTTTAGGAAACACCGCGTAGATGTAAGGGTACGCGCGCGTGGGTGTGCATATTCTGGAACGTAGGTGTCTTTCATAGGTGTATCAGAGCGTTGACGGTATGTAAGCTGGCGTAGGTGTAAACCCTGATAGTGGTAGGTGTGGTAGAGAAAGATAGAAAGAGAGACAGAGAGAGTGAGAGAGAGAGAAACGTAGGGGCGATTCTGGAGGTCTGTTGAAGCTTGGGCTACGTATACTTGTATTAGTAAGGTAGGCATATACATACATGTACATATGTATATATAGGTTGGAAGGTATTAGATAGGAAGGTAGGTAGGTAGATAGGTAGGTAGGAAGGTAGGTTGAAACTAGTGTTAGTGTTAGTGGTATTTGCGATAGAGTAGTGTTGGTGTTGCCCGTTCGCCTAACTCAGGAATACGAGGGGCTAACATCTAAGCGAAGTACATACATAGGTAGGAGGGACTAGGTACTATCTAGTATCTAGTAATACCGGGTACTAGGTACGTACGTACCTACGTACGTACGCGCCGCGGACGCCAAATAGCGGTTCGCATATTCAGAGATAGCGACGTCGCTCGCTCGGCGCGCGATCGCCCCTGATTTAGGTTTCTCTCTCTTACTCTCTCGTACTCTCTCTTACTCTCTCATGCTAACTCTAGCTAGGTCTGCCTTTGCTTCAACCTCTAACCGTTCCTCTACTATATACCTCTACCCGTTCCTCTATCTCTTGGTTCTATCCACTACTCGGTGTACCTATACACCCCACCAACCACCCCCTAACCACCCCTTCCCAACCAACCTCGTTCCATCCTGGTGCTGCTGCTGCTGCTACTCCTCCATCTTCCCGCTTCTCCATACCACCCCTTCTTCTTCTTCTTCTACATCCTCTCTAACACACATACATATATATATATATACATATATATAGCAGACACTCACGCCATACTTATTTGTGTGTATTTGAGTTAGGGTGGGCTTGCTGGTAGGGGGTAGGTGGTTAAGCACGTATATACGCGGGAAATGACGTACACTTAGCCAAAACTAACACGCTTTGCCTTCTTCGATGTCCTTCGTCTCCTAGTTGTCCTCCTTCACCGTTCCCTCCTTCCCTCCCTTCCTTCCCTTTAGTCCTAGTCCGTCGTCAACGAATAACGTCTTCAATACTACGACGACGATGACATCGAAACCTTCCGAAAAAGGGTTCTCTCGTGATACTATATTTTAAGTTACACGATACTTTCTTAGATTGTTATTACGAACATTTGGAATTTCATCGATTTACGTACGTACGTTCTTTCTCTTTTTTTATTGTTTTCTGGTTCTTAAAATGTGTACGAGGCTTTTTATCAAATAACAAAAGAAATCTAATTAATGAAGAAAGGTTTGTTAACAGGGAACGAAAGTTTTGGGTGATTTTAGGGGATTGGAATATTTTTCAAAATCCTCTAGTTTCTATGATACGGTTGAAATATTTAGTCAATGTCGCGAAAGGTCAAGGAAACTCTTCCTGACCCTTCTACCCCTCAAACTACTGAGAACAACCTGTGATATATTCAGCAACGAGCAACGAGGTGCGTGCATGCGTGCGTGCGTGCGTGCGTGGGTTCGTTCGTTCGTTCGGAATTCCTAATAAAAAATGAATGATTCAAATTGGATCGAAGTATACAGCGGCATGGTTGTTAATTTCGTTATTCTATAAATATGTATATGCAACAAAAAATAACAAAAAACTATGTTAAAATGGAAATATGAATTCTTATAAATGATACGATTCGTGTGTGCCGAAAAATAAAACGTGGGCTACGATTATTAAAGTTAAACGTTGATAAATATTGCAATTATTATTTTGAAAAGAATTTGTTTGTTAATGAAACGAATATAAAAAAAAATACAAAATTAATTTTTTGTAGCCGTCGCGTTGATTATTGGATCCCCTATTACCGATCTCACTATGACGTTTGAATTTTTATCTAACGATTGTTTCAACTATTGTACAAACAAACAAAATATATATATATATATAAAAGCAAGGGGGTAGTAAACGCGTTAAATCAAAAATTCAATCTTAAAGAGGGGTTAACTATGAACGGAGTAATTAATAATAACAATTTATCCGACTAAAACGAAAGAATACAAATTACCTTATAAACACGTTGACTGTCACAGTGATTCCCATTTCACTCCTGTATTACAATATCATTTCAATTCTTATCTTTCAAAATGTTTTCGTTACTGTATAAAAAGAGAAGGAAAAAAAAAAAAAAGAAACCATGAAACTAACGTGACAGTCAACATATTAAATTAAACATTTAAACGGCTTGTTGAATCGATTAAAAAAACATTGAAAAAAAAAATAATATTAATATTGAAGAATGAGAGACACTGTTACGTTTAACTTTCGAATAGATTACAAATAAATAGATAAATGAATAATATCGATAATCTTAAATATTACATATATATATATATATATATATATATATATATATATCATTAAATAAACTGAACAAAGAAAAAAATAGAAATAATCTTAGAAACGCGTTAACTATAACAGTGATTCCCAAATAAACCGATATTACACTATTCTTTCAACGATTATCTACAAAATCTGTCTACTAATATGAAAAAAGAAAAAATATATATATATATATAAACCTAATATTAAACAATCAACATATTAAATGAAAAAGACATTCACGTACTAATAAAGAAAAACGATAATTACTATTTTTCATGAATATTACGCAATCACGATGCAAATTCTTATCTTAAAAAATCGATATAAACATATAACATGCAATCGATACAAAAATATTACAAATAAAATATTCGAATAAAATAAAAATAGTAAACGTGAGAAATAATTGAGAAGAGGAGAATGAGAGTCACTGAGCGCAGCTGCCGCGCGACGCGGCGGTATCTCTCCGCGTAGTCTGCTACCTCACACCCTCGTCATCTTGCGCGACCCAGCTTCAGCAACGGCAGCAGCAACGGCAGCAGCAGCAGCAACGGGCAACGGCAACGGGCAACGGCAACGGCAACGGGCAACGGCAACGGCAGCCCACGTGGGTGCCGCTGGTCGAAGGGGTCGCGCGCGTGGAATGAGGGTGACGCAAGGAGAAAGCGGAGGCGGCAGTGGGGTGGGATGGTATGGGATGGTATGGGGTGGTGGGAGTTGGGTGGCAGAATAGGGGGAACGAAGAGGTAGAGCGTGGGGTGGTGGCAGCGCAACGGTGGAGGCGCGAGGCGGTCGACCGATCGCGAACGCGAGGGACTCCGAAGGGCTCCGAAGGACTCGAAAGGGCTCGGAAGAACCTTCCCACCACCATCACTACCACCACTACCACCATCACTAAACCAACATCAGCATCACCACCCACTGACCATTGCCCTCCACCCTAAACGCGAACATTCTCTCCACCCTTCTCTCTTCTTCTACTATTCTTCTTCTTCTTCGAACTTACCCTCGGACTTACGTCGAGGATGGAAAATTTTCTCTCTTTTTCATCGAACAAAAAGAAAAAAAAAAAGAACAACTTTTTTTCGCCCCGCCACGCCCCCCCACCGCCTCCCAACGCATTACGATCGCTAAAACTTTGTCTCTTGTCGCTAAAATTCTTATATCTTTTGGTCATCGTTTAATCTATTATCTTTCAACTGTTGCTCGCGCTAATTATCTCATCTCACACAGTTTTCTCAATGTATAATTTTATTTTATACTTCTTTTTTTTTTTTTTTTTTTCTTGTCTTTTATTACGTTAGTATTGTGTAAGAATGAATAATTAAAAAAAGAAAGAAAAAAGAATTTTCGATGGGATTTGAGAGTAAAGTTCTCTTAACAAGAATTCGGAACTAAAGCTAAATTTAGATTCGAATGTGTTTGATCTTTTTTTTTTTTCAAATACCTCGGAGAAAGTCGAGAAATTCTTTCGAAGCGCAACCGGTACTATATATTCCAAGCGCATAGATCATAATACAATAGCGTAGGTCAGGAAACAGGGAAGATACGCAGCCCACTTGCCATGTGCTCGACAACGCATTTCGCTTCGAGTTACTCACCCCTCTGCCCCACCACCTCGTTCATTCCACTACGCTTCCCCTCTTCCTCCCCTTTTCAATGATCACTCGCTCGCTCACTCCTTCTGTTTGCCCCATATTTACTCTTTGGTATTGTTATTATTACTTCTGCATTTTCAGTGACTGATCTTCTTATCGACAGTGCAAATTCATTTCTTTTATAATTATTTCTTCGTCGATATGGTCACTTAATGAATTAGCAAGAAAGTTTTGTTATCTACAGAAATATACTTTTCTTATCCGCCGATAATGTAGGTATGTCGCAAAGATATTGTTACCGACACAAACGTTACCGACCAAAATATTACCGACACAAACGTTACCGACCGAAATATTACCGACACAAACGTTACCGACCGAAATATTACCGACACAAACGTTACCGACCGAACTATTACCGACAGATACATTACCGACCGAAATATTACCGACAGAAACATTATCGACAGTGCTAAACATCCTCTCGTAATGGTGCAAGATTTGAAATTTAAATGAATGCTTTCTCCAAATATCTTGAAATATAATAATCAAGAAATCTAGTGTAGATTTAATTGCTATTATTGTTTAGTAATAGTAATATTCTTTCTTCTTTTAATATATTTCAGCCAACAACGTTACGCTCTCCAACCTGGTTAATTAATTTTCGTAGAGGTAATAGTTTTGAGTGTGCAACATTTCTAACAAGTCTTCTACTAGGACAAGGATACAATGCATTTGTTGTATTTGGCTATGCATCTCGGGAACAAGTTCAATGCGACAGAACTAGAATTACCTGTCCATATTTACCAAAGGCGGAACCAAAAATAATAGAAGAAGAACATGCTATTAATTTAACGTATAAGCTCAAACCTCCTGCAGACTTCAGAAGTAAATTTTTATTAAAAATGGATGCTAGAGAAAAACTAAAATTTGAAACTGCAATTCAAGAAGAAGAAGAGAAGCAAGCTAAAATTATAATGGTATGTAATGTTTTGTAATAAAATTTATATGTTATGATGTATAGACTAATATTCATTACAATATTTAGGAATTAGAGAAACCACGACCAGATAAATATCATGGACACAGAGTTCACGCTTGGGTTGTTGTGCTACCTGCCATTAATGATACAAAAGGAAAACAAATTAAAAATCCATTCTTTATCGAATCCTCATCAGGAGAAATGTATGACCTAAATGATCCTCAAACTAATCTTTTGTACCTTGGTGTGGAAAGTATTTGGAATGATGAAAATTATTGGATCAACATACAAGAAGATTCAATTGGTTGTGACAAAATAAATTGGGATTTAACTTCCACCAAATTATGGGAACATCTACTTCCTGGCGAACCATGGACCATGCGTGGCATAGAAGACGATTTAATCGAAGAAGATATTAAAATAGAACAAGAGAAACATTTAGATATGCCTGCTTCTTATGTTAATGAAATATTCATAAATAGTTTAGGTAAAACTCCATATTCATTACGTTTTTCTTTTCCAACTGCAATATAACAAAAATTACTTTATTTGTAGATTATGAAAGACGATATCCGCAAGCTCACAAAACTAAATTTTATAAAAAGGTAAAAGTTGATTTGTATTCACCCTACGTTCAATTGGACGGATTGATAGAAAAAATAACAATATACGATGATTACGAATACACAGTTCCTATTGAAATTTATGAAAAGTATACTAACAGGAATGATCAATTAGTACAATCACAACGAAACTTAAATACCAATTATGTTACTGATTTTTATAAAAGAGGTCGAGTCGATGCATGCAAAGGTAATCTATAACAATCATAATTATCTTTTAATTTAATAATATTCTCTAATAATAACAAAAATTTATAGAACATTGCTTTTATATGAATGATGATAACTCATCAATGTATAATGAAAGAATTTTACATTTCTATGATGTAATTCGATTAGATGGATTATCAGAAATTTATGTACATCCTTTACGTTTAACACAATATTATTCCAATCGTGAAGATTTCTTGTATTATAGGTGAGCTCTATTTTTAATAGTACATTATATAATACTTGAGAATATTATCGAATTAATACTTTGATGCAGGGATGTGGAATTCTCACCCGATAAAGGTGATCCTGTAGTAGATGGAATACATTATCGTCACATTCAAGTAAGTTTTTATATACCTAACGATTGATAATATTTCTTGAAAACTATTGTATTTATTTATTCCAGAGAATAACTGAAAAATATCGAAGAAACGAACTACTACCAGCATCCAGAGATATCTCTATAAGAGAATTCATTTTGACAGAGAAAGAAATACATTTGAAGTTTCATTATGAAGATGACAGAATTACAAGAGGTATGCGTGTTTATAAAAAACCAGAACCAGGAGAAAATCTAAACGTTCATACTGCTGTTATTCAAGAATACAACGTAATTATTCCTAAAATGTTAAATTAATACAATCCTAAAAATTACATTTATTTTCTTTTTATTGTATTACTATTACAGCCGGATGCTATGTCAGTACCTGAACAAAATTTGTATCTATTCAGAGAATTGGAAAAATTATTAAAAGAAGAAGATCAATGCGTGTCTAATGTCAGAAATGCAGAAACTGAAATTTCATCGTTTATAAAAACACGAACAAATGAATATTTGAATCCACAATTAATTATTTCTTCGTTTGATAGAAATCGAATCGAGGAAACAGGAAAATCTATAAAGGTGTTTGCACAAATAAATTTGATATATAAATTACTCGTACATCAAAAATGCTAATCTAAATGAATTTGTAGGATTCAATATCGATATCTCATAGTTTACGAGATATTACAAAACCTGCTGATCACTTGGCTTCATACTTGGCACGAATAGGAAATCCAAAGCATATAAGCAAAGCTCAAGCGTATTTATTACGAGAGGATTGTTTGAGCGATTTTAAAGACTCGCAAGTGAATAAAGCTAATGTCATTTTACGTAAATCCGAGGAGCTTACAGAGGAGTTGAATAAATTGCAAGCATTATTAACGCAGGTATATAAATATCGCATGATCCAAAGATTATATTAATTTATATTGTCGAAGTGTTATTAATATAGGTTGACATATAGAAAATTGTAATGTTTTATATTTAGAACGAAGATTTAACGCGGGAGGAAGAGGATGAACTTTTAGCGAAAACCAACGAAATCAATTTTAATCTCCACTTGTTGGAAATGAAGTTGGATCGTCATAAGAATTTAGTTCCTTTACGATACAAAATGCTGGTTGAATTTTTACAACAAGACGAGCGCCTTTCCATTCTCAACAAGTAATAATAATGTTAAGATAAAAACAATGATGTATCACTCGTTGCACTTATTATGTGTTCAAAGTGAAAATTAATGGAACGACCAAGACCCCATTTGTCCGATGCATCTACCTGAAATAATTGAACTATTAATAACAAATTAAAAATTAATAGGAAAATAAATAAATTAATATAACTGCATCACCTTCGTCGTCGAACGTTGCCAATGTAAATTTGCTGAGTTTATTTGTAAAAGTACCAGTATAAGTAGTCGTAGAATGATCCGATTGACGTTCGTTATTTGTACCATCGTTGTGAGAACTGTGATTGCGATTCTCTTCGGCGAAACCAGAAATTAAAGTGTCCATCATTATTGCCTAAAACATATGTTATTAAATTATCTATAATATATATATATATATATATTATATATTATTATTTCTTTATTATTAATATTTTATTTTATAAAACGTACTTGTCTCGAGAATACTTGTAGAATTTTATAAACACGTGCACCATTTTCTCTAACAGGAAATTGTAAAAACAAACATGGTAAACAATCAGGGTTTCTTTCATTGGAAGGTTTAGCCATTTCCCAACTCAACTCCGAGTACTTCAATCCCAATAGAAGACTCTGTTTAAAAAAGAAATTAATTATTATAAACAAAAGTAAAACGTGAATGAAAGAATTCAAATGTTTTACTCTTAACTTACACATTGCATATCATCGACGATGTATACTCCAGAAGTGTTAATGGCAATGAGAACTTGTAAATCACGATTGGTAATCCAAGATGTGAGTCCTCTTACTGGACGTTCAATTTGTCCTTGAAAGAATGCAGCACCGTAACAGGGTAAACCCCAACAGAATTCAAGATACTTCCTAATAAGTTTTCGTGGATTTGTATTGGTCCCATTATGATTAGGTATTCTTTTATATTGTTCTAGAAGTCTTGCTTCTGGTGCTCCTTTACCTCCAACCAAACCTAATCCAAATCCTAATCCTAATAGAAGACTCGGTGAGGTGTAATGATGAGGTAAAAATCTTCCTCGGTGTCTTCTAAAAAATGCCAATGTATGCGTTTGTGAGTTATAAGGGCCTATTTCGATACGTGCTTGTAAAGCTCCTAAACTTGCATATCGTGCTTGACCTTCGCATGGATATCTACCTATGACAAATGAAAGTAATGTTTTAATTATATATAATAATTCATACTTCATAACGCGTAACTAAAATATTGTTACCTTGCAATACATTATGTCTTGCTTCGGCATACAATAATTCTAACACTTTAGCTTCCTTTATTTGTTCTTCGTCATATCTAGAGAGAAACACATTCCTACGAAAGTATAATATAGGTTCCTCGTCAGTTTCGTCTCTCGATGAACCATATTTGTTAACTAAACGGTTCCATCTTGCAGCTAATTCTATTGGCTTGTGATTTGGTCTCAATTGAATTTCTAATTGCGATGAGCACAGCCATAAAGCGAATACTGGCTGTCCGATCAAAGGTGGAGCTCTTGCTAATCCTAATTCTGCTTCTGTTTGTACTATAGTTAATATTTGTTGCGCTGTTGCATTTTGTTCGACATCCATTGTTATGAATACTCCGGTCATTAGATAAACTGCGATACGCACTGTGGCTCTTCCAGTGTTCATATACTGCGCTTGACTCATCATCATTGCTTTATAAAATATAATAAGAAAAGAGAACGATTAAAAATTTAATTAAAATTCTACATCACAATATTAACACATCTGTGCTTTTATGTATACCTATTTTTATGAATTAAATGAACCATCTTCAAAAAATCATATATCTTACATGATACGTATAGTGTTAATAACATTGATAAAAGTTTATCAATCAAGAGTTACTGTAAACATTATGAATACTCACAAAGTGGAGTATGTCCATCATTCTTGTAATCATTTGGATAACGTTGTACCAATTGTCCTCTTCGAATCGAACAATCCTCCTGCGTTTCCATATTCTTGAAAATAATCTATTTTATCTTCTCACTGAGACAATTGTTTTCTTCAAATGTTTACCATCCTTATATTCACAGATAGAATATGCAATCGATTGTTAAATGTTACAACGAGTGATACAGATTTTGATTTTTTTTAACATGGTTTAGATTTTTACACTTATTTGAAACAATTAAACAATTGTAACTTTTTTATACAGCTTTTTTATAAACATTTAAAATTCCTCTTAGTGTCCTTTATCAATTATTATGATATTCATGATTGATAACATTGTAGATTGTGAGATTAATTGTTTAGATTTTGCAAAATAAATTTTGTATAAAAGAAATTCATTGTATTTATTTAATATAACTCGATGGAATGAACTAATTTTTCGTTGATATTTGTAAGACACTAAAAGAATGCTTCAAAACAAGAATGTACTGCCATCTAAAGCATAGGTACAATTATTGATTATTCTGGTTGAGGAAGACATAGAATACTTTGAATAATCATTTTTTTTTTATATAAAACATATTCTCTACTGTATGATATTTTAAGATACACAAATTAATTAATTTATTTAATTTCTTCATATTTTATATATATTGCTTTTTATTTATTTATTTTTTTTATTTTATTTTTTATTTTTAATGAGACAATTTTTTTTTATCATTTATTAATCCTGACCCTGTATAGGCACCCTAACTTATACTACTTAATGCCTAATCATATGCGGACGATTGACTCGTACTACTTAAGTAGTAAAAATCAGATGTTGTAATATGTTCGGATATATTGTTAAGTATTAATTAATATAAATTAAGCGTTCTTATATGGTCAAGTATTAAGTAGTATGAATCAAACTTGCATGTATAGTCTTTAACCAAGATATAAGACACTGATTAATAATTTAATTTCTTTAACTTCTAGGAATAGATTATATTTAAATGTTCTATAAACTTTTAAGGATAATATAAGTTTATAAAAGTTAATAATGTATGTTTAATTATTAAAACGGAAATAATTTTAATCAACAGTATTTACAAATTTGTCCACTATTTCTATTTATATCAAGTAAGCAATTTAAATACTACCCTCCAACCAAGTAAGTTTTGACGTTTTCCTCTAAACCAATAGAAATCGAGATTTTTCGAGGGAAAGGAAGTAACGAAAGATAGTTCACGTTGTAAACGCTAGATGACAGCAGTGCACGGTTTTGACCGTATATGCATATTTAAATAATTTATTTTTCAATAATTAGGAATTGTTTATGAACTTTTATAGTCTTATATTATTTGTAAAAACCTACAAAATATGTCGAACATCTAAATGTTTATAATTTATGCCTGGAAATTCAATAAAAAATATTTTTATCAGTGACGGGTATATGTTAATATGCCACGACGCTTATTTTAAAAATAATGTATTTCTAAGCAAATTTAATGAACTTTTATGATTTTAAACTATTTTTAAGAGTCTATAGAATATGTCGAGCATCTAAATGTTTATAATTTATATCTGGAAGTTATATAAATTAATTTTTTAAAAGTGATCAATATAGGATAATATGTCATGTCGCTTATTTTAAAAATAATGTATTTTGAAGCATATTCTATGAACTTTTATAATTTTAAACTATTTCTAAGAGTCTGTAGAATATATCGAGCATCTAAATGTTTATAATTTATGTCTAGAAGTTATATAAATTAATTTTTTAATACGTGACCAATACCTATGATGCTGGGCGTCTATTAAAAACTTATTGGTTAATAACCAACCAATGAGCGCTCTAGTTGTGGGACCGCCCATACTCTGCCGGATACCTCTTATACCTCTTATATCATCATGCTTTCCTATTACATTTCTCTCAATTTTGCGACGAGAGAAACCAATTTTAATACTCTTATACCGGGTGGGAAAATTCAAAATGATCATCAGAAAATCTAGATTTCTAAGGGAAATTGAAAAAAACGTCAAAATTTTGATTCGACGGTTGCGTTTAAAAAATAAAATTAAACAAATGTAAAAAAAGAAAATTATAAAGAGACTCTTAGAAATAATATAAATCTATAATGTTAATAAAAATTATTGATTTGTTAAGAAATAAATTAATTACAATATTATCAATTAATAATCTAATAATTCGCAAACTTTTAATTAACGTAATTTCTGTATATAAGAATTGTCCCTGAGGAGAATTGATTTTTTAACAAATTATTTAATAAATCCAAACGTTTCATTTGATTATTTCAAAATGAAAACAATGTGTCGGAAGGACCAAATAAAATTGAATGATAATTAAACATGTAAAATAAATTGAAATTGACAATTTAGTTACAGCCATTCGCCCGGTAGTACTTGCGTTACATAGTTTATTATTAATTTAATTGAAATAGATCGCAAGTAATACCGACCCAGGTCTCACCGCGAGGAGGTTGCTGTTTTCGGAGACCCCCGGGCTAAGACTCTACTTCTACATTTATTAATGTAATTAATTCATTTCATTATAATCATTTATTAAATAGAAATATTCAAAAATGCAACGCGTAAAAAAACGAGTCATTAATTTTTTTCATCCAACTTATTATTCAAGTTGGATGAAAAAATTATGAACATTGTTTTAAATCGATCCTTCCTACCCGATTAACATTCCTAAATTAACGCAAATATGTCAACATGCAAACGCTTTGACGTAAATTCGATTGAAACTTCAATTATAAAAATTGAAATCTCAAATTTAACATGCAAGTTGTTACAATACGAACGCACGCATTTTGATATGCACCGCAGTATTATTTTAATAATTATAAGAATTCGCAATGTTATAAAAAAAAATATCCCTCTCATATTATTTTAAAACCTGACAAAAATATATTAATTTTTCTCGTAGAATTATTTTACTATTATTATTATTAAATCTGTATTTTTTTTTTGTAAGATTAAAATTTTGAAAACAAAATTCTTGTCGCATTATTCATCTTATTTTTTATCTTATCATCTAATATATTATTCTAATTACGACTTAATCCTCTTCAGATGCTATTAACAATATTGCTACCTGTGAATAGAAACGATCTAAAAAGATTTATAATTAAACAAGAAATAGTGAAAAAATCAGCAGCCACTCCGATGAAAGTTAAATAAAAATGTCTTGAAAATAAATGGATAATTGATATATTAAACAAATACTAAGAACTTGATCTATCACACACACAAGTAAGTACATTCATACATTTAGACACAACTACTACGAGAATAGACTAGAAAACAGTCGAATCGAATCTTGCCAATATATCGATGACCCTGAAACAAAAATTAATTTTTTAGATTTATCGGAAAAAATATTTTTAACGAATACAAAAAAAAGAAAAAAAAAGGAAACTTTGGTTTCTTATTTTTTTTTATCCCAATTCTTCGTTCCAGTTCTTAATAAAAAAAAATGTATTTTTACCTATTCCCATCATTCTTTACCTTAATTTTTGTTGTAAATATCCATAAATAAAAAATGGTATTTTACAATATTAAATCTTAGGGCTTGAAAGAACAGTACTTTCTGTAACAAAAAACTAGATGAAAAGGGCATGTGTGGATAAATGAAATTCGATGTACAATCCGCGACCCCAAAAGTTTTTCAATTTAAATTATTTAATGAATAATGAAATTTAAAGAGAAAAGAATTTAAATGACCAATAAGTGGACATTTAAAAATACCGAATTCTCGATGCATTAGAAAATGTGTTTTTCTATATTTAAACACAAGTGAATATGAAAAAATGCATGTCTCTGATGCATGCTTTTTTCAATAAACAAATATATGAATAGAAAAATGTTTCAATTTCATAT